TGCGTGTTTGTGTGTGTGTGAGAATATAGCTTGCCGGGCCAAGAGCTGTATAATTAATCCAACTTAAGTGTGAGGCTACCCTGTGTGAGTCATTGATGCATACTGTGCACTGCCTGACTTCAAACTGAATTAATGGTGTTTTTCCTTAAAGGTCCAGTGTGTAGGATTCAGAGGCAACTATTGGTAGAGATGGTATATAATATTCATAACTACATTTTCATTAGTTGGTAATCACCTGAAAATAAGAACTGTTTTGTTTTCACTACCATAAAAATTGAGCCGTTTATATCTACATACGGAGCAGGTCCTCTTCCACAGAGTCTGCCATGTTGTTTTGACAGTAGCCCAGAAAGGACAAACCTAACACTGGCTCTAGATAGGGCCATTTGCATTTTCGTGTCAGCCACATTAGTTTTCCTACACACTTGGCACGTGGGAGAAGTTTCAGTTCTGCAACCTCACTGCTAGATGCCACTAAATCCTACAAGCTAATATCTATATCAGCCATAGAGATGCCTTCTCTTGAATATAATTGGACTAGACGGCACTCAGCTTGTGGTGCTCAAAGCGTTAAAAAAAACCATTTGACAAGTAAACAGCAATGTCTCTTTCCAGAAATCATGATCTTGTTACTCAAGATAATCCACAGACCTTGTTGTGAGCAGCTTCATGTAGGAACTATTTTCTGTCTTCTGAACTACACTCGCCAAATGTACGCCTCCTTCTGGGTGTGCATCTACTGCTAGCTCACCTAGCACCACTGAGTTAGCTAACGTTACAGCTCAGCTGAGGAGGACGCCATTACTGTTTACATCTCACGCTGTCATGAGCACAGGCCTCACTTCCATTATTAGATGCACATTCCTTCTGCACGGTGATACGGGTGGTGGTTATAGTTTGGTAGAAAGAAAATAGTTCCTACATGAAACTGCTCACAACAAGGTCTGTGGATTATCTTGAGTAACTGGATCATGATTTCTAGAAAGAGACATTGCTGTTGAGTTTTTCAAATGTATATTTTTGACACTTTGAGCACCACAAGCTGAGTGCCATCTAGTTTCATATTGGAGAAAAGGCAGACATCTCCAACACTCAGCTACTCACACCAAAACAATAAAGATTGATAAATAGCTCTAGAAGTAAGAGGAAATATCCGTATGTTTGATTTTGGGTGGTGAACTGTCTCTTTTAGTTGAAATGAGATCCCACATCAGCTGAGGGTCTTGGCAGTCATTCACGGGATCATTACTTGTTATTCGTCACACGAGGCATCATCAACAAAATGTCAAACGGCAGGCACACGAGCTATTTAAGGGTACATGTTGTTTGTCCTTCTATTGTTGCCATTTCAATAAGTTCAATAAAGTGTTTGTGTGTGTTTGCAAAGATGCTACCTCTGGAACAAAAGCAAACAGTGAGGCAGATGTTCTTAATGAGGAAAACATGGCCAGGGAAGGCGGGATCATTCAGCTGGTATCGGGTGAAGTGAATGTGTTATACGCTTACATAATCCGGGGGGGGGAAGCGTGAATTGACTACTCCCTCTCTACATGACAATGCGCTGGCAGGCGCAGGTCGGCTGTTTGCTCATGAACACCGTGTCTCCAGCGCCCCTTGAAAAAATCTGTGCGTCTTCAGATGTCCAGAATGCACAACGGCTGGTCAAAAGCTCTTTGTGAGGTTGCTGTTCATCAGCAGGCAGCCTTCTGCACCGTGCAGCTCTGCTGCTGCAGGGGTCTTTTCAGTGCATGGAACCGGATGGTGAGCAGAGAACACAGCGGGGGCTGGGCACTGCAATGTACTGCAGTGCTCGTAGCTCTGCTATGCACACCCACTCTCTTCCATTCTTGCTCTGCCTCTGACAATCTCTCAATCTCTCGCTCTATCTCTCGCCCTCTCTTGCCCATACTTGGTTCGTTTATCTTATATTCCTCTCTTCACTTTCTCCTCAGTCCTTTTCATACTTGTTTTCCCCACACTTTGAAAGCTGTCTGTATTCTATCTGTGCAACACAACCTCTTATACTCATTCATTACCCTGCCCTCTGTCACTCACATACACACTTACAAACACACTTACACAAATCCATGCATAACCACATCCTGTAACCTTTCCCTGGAGTATGATAAAGTGCCCTTTTCCTGGTTATGGAGAAGACACACACACAATATCCCTCTGACACTTTATTTATCACAGTGTCATTGTAGTGTCACCAAAGGGGTCTGCTCACCTTACACATCTGCAACATTTCATCTGCACAACCTTAACGACACAGGTGTGACACTATTTCTGCTTGTTGGAGGACTTTTTACAGTACCGCTTGTCATCAATAATATGGAGAGTTTGGAAATTGTTGCTAACTGTAGCATGCCACAGTGACAGCCGTTGTTGCTCCGCTATGTTGCCTACATCATCATTTACAGGGGCACACTAAACGCCCATGTCGCACAGACTGGGACAGAGGGTGTCATACATGCAGGATGAGCAATGACAAGCCGAACAGCTGCTCCGTTCCTCCAAAAAACCCCACCAATCTTCGAAAGAGTTACAGTACGACAATTATAAACATACCTAAGAACAAACAAAAGACAAAGGGATTATCCCAACAGCTATCCGTATCCAGCGTGAAGTAAATTCTCGCACATGGCCAGGATTGTTTATGTTGTGATGCTGAATCCCCCGATTCTTTATGCTGCTACATCACTAATTTAGATTTAGCTAAATCACAGGATCCAGGTCCGTGTGTTTAAAGCAGCCTCTCTATCTAATTAGAAGTGGTTAAATCTCCTCCATCTCTGACACTTGCTTCTATCTTAAAGAGCGTTACTGGCTAATTCTTGGGAACAGTGAGGGGTCTCATTTCCGTTTGCCATTAAAGAGCTGAGGTTTCTAATCATTGCCATTGGAATGAGTTTCTCAGTATGCTGGCTGCATCCTGCAGAGACACTTTCCCAGTGGCTCTCAACCATGATATGAAACAAAGCTCTGTGTGACAGCAGGTGTCAGGACTGTAAGGGCTGCCGCCGTTAAATGCTTTATATTTTCTACATAACACTGCTGTCTTTTAACAGCTCCTTAATTGTTTTTCTGTGAAACACAATTAGTTGCTGGCCACTATCACTATCATGTATAATCTCTCCTCTTTTAATAACATCTTCTTTTTGATTTTGTGTCATTACCTGAATAGACCCACGCAATACACTGATGTCAAACCTGAATGATTCTGCTGCTGCAGCTCATCCCACAGTTTGATGTGTCACTCTGAGCGTTGCAGTGAAAAGGAAGGTAGCACAAAACCCACAGCACTGACACTCCCACCTGGAGCTTACAGTGATAATATAGGTAGACAAGGACAGGAAGGATGAGGAAACAGCCAGGGACGGATATTTCAGCACCTCTGCAAAAACATAGATCTCTTTAAGATGGTCTAGAAAAGGAGAGGTGCATGAATAATGAAAGTGTTTTCACCTGGAGAAGCAAAAGAACAGATGTGCACAGCAGACTGCTACATCAAATAGAGACTTGGGAATGTGTTAAGCCAGGTCATCTAAACACAGATAGTTAGACGAATTAGCTTTAAACTATAACCCAACCCTCATCACTAAACCCTGGTTTGCTTCAAACAATTCAAGGGAAGCACTTATCAAAGGTCTTCGCTCTGAGCTCTGTCCATGGTGCTGAAATGAGTTACATTTCCTCCCTGGCTCTCTCTTTATCCCCTCATATAAGTCAGTGCTGAATAATTTAAACATCATTTAAAACCAGAAACTGGGATCAGCGAGTGCGGTCAGGTTCACGACTGCCTTGCGCTTCTATCGACTGTGTGAGGCTGAAAGGTATTACTTCTAAGTGATATGAAAACATCGGTACATACTGTACTCTTCATCCTGTCTAACGACGCTCTCCAGCGTGCCCACACAAGACACACTAAGTCCATCTATTATTTCCTCCCATTCTGCAGCAGGCCAGTGCTCACAGACATTTCTCCTACAGAGAAAACACACACTGCCCACTGCTGGACAGTATCATATCTTCATTCACAAATGATGAAGGTCAGACTTCCAAAAAAAGACGGTGGGATGTAATAAATTAACTGTGAATGTGTTTAAAGAAAAAGCTGATGATGAATGCATGATAAAAAAAACAACAAATATAGTGTGAATCATCTTTCTTTCGCTGTAAACAAACAAAGCTTCACATCTTTTGTTTGAGCTCATTTCACATTAATGACAAACCCTATCTTCAGTGTATAAACACTCCCAAGATATAGTAATTTTTCCGCTTCTTTGGTACACTGTAGTCAGTGTACCCAGCTCACCCAATCAGAGAGCTCACTTTTGCTGCAGGCTCAGACTGAAGGAAGTCCCAGAACACCGGATAAACAAAACAAAAACTCATCACCGGGCTCAAACGCTATCAGAGCCAATTCAATCTGTTATCTAAGCATCCCAAAATGATACTCAGAATACACAATGAGAGCGTGCACGACACAGCTGGCTGCAGCAGCCTCCCTGGCACACTCAGCTTATCAGTGTGTGTGCACTGAATTTACAGTATAAGGGGGGCAAAACTTTACTCTCATCCCATCCAGGGATAACAAAGAAGTGAATGTGGTGGGAGTCATTTTTAGAAGGGATGTAGCTGGTTTGAGTCATTCTGCCTCACACTGGCTGGATGCTGAGGCAGCTCCACTCAGGGATGTAATGGGATACTGCAGCACTAGAGAACCGTGTGCACAGAAACTTGCCTAGAAGCATCAGGGAGTCCCGCACTAACCTTCCCCCTCTCTCTGCATCCCCCTCTGCCTCCCCCTCTGCTTCTCTGTCAAGTGCTTCTGATGTACAAAAAATCATTAAAGTATAATGTATATATCTAACTGCAATCACACATGAAATAGGGCAGATATGCCAGAGCACACACTGATAAAGAACACAAAAAAGCAACTTCAGAAGTGTAAGAACCCAGCATGCCTGCAGAGGAAGGAGGACGCAGCTGCTTACCTTTTGTGCAGGATGCTCTCCTCTGGACACTGAGCTCTTCCCCCTTCTCCACAGGCTCCGAGACACTTTGAGATAGAGAGAGAAATAATCAATCTTCTCTTACTTTCTCTTATTTCCAGTTTCAGCATGAAACAAGTCTAACACAGCCCTCTGGACACACCTTTACACAGTCCTCCTGTAAACTCTGCCACATATACACACACAGACACCCATTCAAATGCAGCCCAAGACTGGAGTACACAAATTGATAAAGATCTGCTCAGGGGAGGGATAAAAAACTACACACACTCACACACACTGCAGTTTTTTTCCCCTTCCTCTTGCCCACTCGCTCTGCTGCTTTTTTTTTTTTTTTTTCCCTCGTGCTGCCTTTGCCTGCACTGCCTCCTGATTGGCTAAGCTGCTCTTCAATAACATAAGCTCTCTTCTTTAATTGGAAGGGGGCCAGTTGTGTGGTGCACCAGAAACCCTCCCGCCCAGCTCATCTCTCTTCTTTTTTATCCCCCCCCCCCCTTCTGCTAAGTGCCTGTGGAGAAGAATGCTGAGCTCTGCAATTTCATACGCATCGACCAAAGGAGGAGGAAAAAAAGGGAATGGAGGACAGAGGAGAGGAGAGGAGAGGAGGGGGTGGGGAGGACAAGGGAGTGAGAGTGGGAATGGGGGAGAGCGTCGGCGGCGAATCAGTGGACCGCAGTGGGACAGGCAGAGGCTGTATGGGGTTGCGAAGGGGACAAAAGACATAGAGGGGCTATGAGGGCAGATTTGGATGCACACGGTCCGTCAGCCGCAGCATGCTGAGGTGAGACAGCAGGTCAGATGGAGGGAGATTTCCCTGCACTCACTGCAGCGCGGCTAGGTGGCTCTGCTGCAGTGTGGAGTCTAATTGCCAGGCAAGAAGGGGGATGGGAAGGGAGGAGGAGGATGAGGAGGAGGAGGAGGAGGAGAGGGGGTGGTGGTGGTTGCAGTTATGCCGAAGTACAGTCTTCCAGCTGACCATGGTTATATGGGGGGAAATGGGCAGGCAGCCGCAGTGTACAGCGGTTAATGCCTCTTTCCTCATGAATTATTGAAGGTGCCCCAAAGGAGAGTGGGAGGGTCACAGACTGCAAACTCCTGAGCCTGCTCAGACACTCACTGCCACTGAGGTTTATCATAATTACTCACACCTTAAGTCATCACATTATTAAACAGAGCCCCCTTCAGTCAGATTATTTAATCCCACTGATGTAATAGCCTGCTTTTAAATGGAGATCGTGTGCTCTCTGCTTCCCACTCTCCAATCGTGGAGAAAACAGATGTGTGGGATTGAATCTGTGGTGTCAGGTTCCCTGCCACTCTTTCTTTGACTACCACCAACATGTCCCAGCTGCATTACAGGACAATACCCACACAGATCAATAATGGATCACGCAATACCTCGACCATCTGCAGAGGCTACAATAGGCACTCTACAAGTTATATGATCACCACAGAGATGCATTGTTTGCTCAATCAACAACGTAATTGCCTGGTGGATGAATGCACAGGCAAAGAGATGCCTGAGTTAAATACCACATGACCAGAAAGGGCAGGTGGACAAATCCCAGATTCATCTGGTTTCATCTTGTCACACAGCTGAAAACTGGTGACAGCAGACTGTAGATATAAATAATAGATGATGAGTAGAGATGTGTCTCCTACTTGCAGAAGTTCACAAGAGTTCAGTTGAGTTTAATGTGCAAAAAAGAACATTTATTTCCAAGTTATCTTTACATTTGTTTCCCCAGTGAAAAAGATCACCACTGTGGAAATATTACAGAAAGGTGCATCAACTTATAATCACAATAAACAGACATTTACATTGGTCTTTTGCGCTTGTTTTCCCGCATCACTGTGGTCTCTGCTCTCTCAGGGAGGCTGTAGACTGTGATGGAGATGTCCGTGTGTTTGAAGACCTGTTTCAGAATGTCCGACACTCTGGGCCACTGCAGTCCATCCAGGCCACAACCAATACTGTCGGAAAGTGAGAGAGAGAAACAGACTGTTTAAGTGTAACAGATAATACAAATCTTGCCATGAAGACAAAGGAGTAGAAGCGCTGCTGGGTCTTAGTTGCAGTCACATACAGGTGCTCTTTGGATACTTCAGGTGTACTGTGTTTATTCTAAAAAAGACCAACGCTACAGCTGCTGAAGCAGACAATGACCCTGATAAAGACCTGTGAGTCACAACACCTTGGTCATTTTAATCTATCTTGCCATGTAAAAATAAGCACAAACCCTACAGTGTGCCTTGGATTGTTTTTGAAGGAGACTTGAATTTTTTAAGATGGACTAAACACAAATCTTGCCACGTTTTAAACTGAATAAATGAGTATTTCTCTCTTGAACCTGGTTCGATTACGACTCACTAAATAATCGTGGTACAAACCGAGGCATTGATATCCTCGTTACTCCGTTCTTTTCACAGTGTGACTTCATGTCCTCCAGGCTTTGTGTCAGGCTGCCATAGGTCGGTTTTTCCCTCGCTTTTTTCTTGGTGATCTGCAATATAGCAACAGGAAAGCGACAATAATAACACTTAGTACAATGATAACGTTAGAATGAAAATTTGCATAGGGAACAGTTATAATTAACTGCTACATATTTACCAGATAGTAGACAAAACGTTTGTCTCTTCTCAGTACAGCACACTGTCCTGTCAGCTTTTCTGTTTGGAGAGAAGAAAGATAATATCCACGTCAGAATAAGACACAACACAATCTCCAGGCGTGATGTTTTTTTAAACCCTTAAACTGGTAAAGCACTGATGAACAAGTCATTATAAATTCATGCAGTGCAGCAAAAAAATATTCCAACCCACCGATTTAAATGCTTGAAATGTAGTGGTGATGCTTAAGTTCCAAGGAGACCAAATATGTTAAGAATATTTTAATGTGATGGTATGGTGACGCCATAGAAGCCTCCAACTCTTGTATCAACCGATACAGAATATATGGGTCATTCTTCAACTAGGCTCCATTTTGGTCTGGAAACTTTTACAATAAATATAACACTGACATTATCATTTCCAACTTCTTCTGTCTTTTCCATCACAATAAATGATGAAAATGACTGCTGTAAAGAATACATTTTATCAAATCTCATATGTTAGCATGCAGATAGCTGTTTTAGAGTTAGCATTAAATATTACTAAAAAAAAAAAACACAATATAAAATGTTGTTTTCTTATTATTTGTGCATTTAAAGGAAATATGAGCTGTTTGGAAACGACAGCCAGTAAATGTATTTTGGATTTAACCAAAAATTTACCTTGATTTCTTCTTACTCAGTTCCCTTCATTGAGCTAACATCGAAGTGCTCTCCTGTCACATGACTACTGCTGTGGTCACCATGTATATAAACTCTGAGAAAAACTTCACTTAATTTACATTTTGTACAGTGTGGTGGAAATGACAGAAATCCTAAGGGAATTTTATGTTTTTTTCTTTCTTTTTATTTAATGAAAAAGTCATAAAATACTAATATATGTTACCACACATGATATATTTCATTAAAGTGGTATTTGTGGGTCATTTGTATTTGAAGGTATTAAATTTTAAAATAACGTAGGGTTAAATGTCCAAACTCTGGCTCAGGGACAAAGGATATATTTCAAAAACCACACATAAATATGGCCACTTTTTCTATAATGAAAATAATTACTGATCTATTTTTTAATTTCTGTATGTTCCTCTTGGTGTCAAGTAAGTGTGACAAAAGTTAAAAATAATAAATGCTGGAAAATAAGGAAAAAAATACGAGCTGCACTGGGTTAAGGCTATGTGTAGCCGTAAAATAATAATAATAATAATTATAATAATGATAAATGTTAAAAAAAAAAATCACCCATCTTTGTGATGTTGAATGAATGGAGGATTTTTATTAGACCTCTGCTGTAAACAAAACCATGTTTCTCCATACTCTCAGTGCTCCCAAAATAAGTCATATTAACCCCTGATGATTTTTTTTCACATAATAAAATGGACTGACTCACTCTGTTCCTTTAACTCCTCTACCCCCTGGAACTTCTTCTTGAACATCACAGCTATGCCTGCCCCCATGCGGCAGTCCTCACTGATGCAGTGGGCCAGAGCCTCGTCCTCGGGGCAGGAGAACAGGTCCCCAGTGACATAACTCAGACTCCAGCTGTCTTCTGCGGGCTGGCCAGGAGGGGGCAGCATTGCACCGTGAGAGGAGGCATAATGACAGAACAAGACATGGACACTGGTGTGACTGAGGCGGTAAACTGTGACATAAACACCCCTTTTAGCGCGAACACATACAGAAAAAATACTCTTATAAGCTTTACCTTAAATTTGACAGTGTCGACTGATTTCTCAACCTCAGACGACATCGACACCAGTTAGCAGCGCACTTGAGCGGTGACTTGACTCGGTGTGTGACGTTACAGTCTTGAACACACGTTAACACAACAGCTAGCAAACTTGCTCGTTAGCTTATCATGCGACGGTTATTTTTCTCTCTCATAACTTACAAACAGTTGACTGCAGGCGGCCGTTATAATGCAAAACAGCCTCAGAGTAATTTCAGGATGCTCTGTTTGCTCAGCAGACCGGACACTTTGCTTGAGTGCAGCAGGACAGGAAGCAGCCACGGTAGTTGCATATCCTCTCGCGAGAGAACACGAGACTTTGTGTTAAATTCTCGCCAAAGTACCAGAGTTTTATAATAACAAAATACATACTTTGACAACCCGTTTGTACAGCTTTTTTTCTAAGGATATTATCAAAAACTTAAACCTTCCACCAACATTTATTTTTGGTTGAAAACCGAGAAAATAATCTTGATATTTGTCATTATTTTCATGTCATTTTCAGATTCATAATAACAATACTACTACTACTACTACTACTACTACTAATTATAATAATAGACATGGTCAAGACGACATGCTGAAGTTCAAACTGAGCATCAAAATGGGGAAGAAGGTGATTTAAGTGACTTCGAACGTGGCATGGTTGTTGGTGCCAGACGGGCTGCTCTGAGTATTTACTGGGATTTTCAGCACAACCATCTCTAGGGTTTACAGAGGATGGTCCCAAAGTGAGCAGCAGTTCTGTGGGTGAAAATGCCTTGTTGATGCCAGAGGTCAGAGGAGAATGGCCAGACTGGTTCAAGATGATAGAAAAGCAACAGTAACTCAAATAACCACTGGTTACAACCAAGGTCTGCAGAAGACCATCTCTGAACCAACAACACGTCCAACCTTGAAGCACGGGCTTACCAAAACTGGACAATAGAAGAT